GTGTGCGCGCGCGGGGGAGTGCCGGCGCGCGGCGAGGAGGGTCCCCCGGGAGCTCTATATGGAGGAAGGAGCCCAGAATGGTGTGCACCAGGAAGACCAAAACTTTGGTGTCCACTTGCGTGATCCTGAGCGGCATGACCAACATCATATGTCTGCTCTACGTGGGCTGGGTCACCAACTACATCGCCAGCGTGTATGTGCGGGGGCAGGAGCCGGCGCCTGACAAGAAGCTGGAGGAAGACAAAGGGGACACCCTGAAGATTATTGAACGGCTAGACCACCTGGAGAATGTCATCAAGCAGCATATCCAAGGTACGGGCGCCCCGGGAAACTTGGGCCGCTCACCAGGCCCCGGAGTGCCCAGCGAGGCGCCGGGTGCGCTGGGGCGGGTGCGCATGTAGCCGGCAGCTGCGGGGTCTGAGGCCGCAGAAGCTTGGGGGGCTGGGTGTGCGCTCTTGCCTGCATGGGGGACCCTCGCTGTCTGCGGCCGTGCGCGCTTCTCCAGGGCACACGTGTGTGCGCGGGGCTCCACGCGCGGGTGTGTGCAGCTCACTGGCGGTGTGGGGGCGCGCTGCGCACGTGTCCAAATGTGCCCGAGACTCCGGGCTGGTTGCTCGCCGGCTCTCGGGATCGCACACAGGTCCGGCTCAGAGTGTGTACGTGCATGTTTGTGTGTGTACAAGAGAGAGCGGGCGCGGACAGTCGAGCTCATTTGGTCCCTTGTAAGGGCCCACGGCTTGATGCTCGCGCGGCCCCAGCCTTTGGCATTTAGAACCCACAGGCTGCGGGACAAGCCTGGACTAGGAAGATTGCGTAGACCCAGCCCCAGCCCTGCTGTGCGCCGTCCGTAGGCGCACAGGTCCGTTGGACCTGTAGGGGAAATCTGTGGCTAGGGGTGCCGCTTAAACCTATAGCGGTGCCCACCCCCACCACAACCAGCGGGTCCAGGACCCTCTCCAGGAGCAGGTGTCGACACGTGGAAGAAGCACGGGAGCCTGGAGCTCTGTCCACTGCGGTGGCGCCTCCGCCCAGGACCGAGAGAATCCCCCCTGGGCTGCACCTTCCCCGCGGGGCCGGGCGAAAGCCGTTGCCTCTGGTAGCTCCACTCCCAGGCCCAGGGCATTCCCAGGCCCAGGGAGCGGTTGGGGCGGAGCAGACAGACTCTCGCGGAGTGGTTCTTGAGTCTAAGGCTGCACGAGGTGGTTGCCCTCCATCTAGGCCAGGGCTGGGGTCAAGGGGAGGATGGCGTATGGGAGCCCTCCCGATGCAATCTTGTCCGAGCTCCGCGGGGCACTGGTACTGGGTGTGCACACACGCGCGCGTCTCACCCGTTCACACTTCTCTTTTCGTCACCTCCCCACTTCCCCTGCTTTCTACCAGCGTGTGAGCTTCTGAAGGGCAGGGAACCTTGTTCACCTATAAACCTGGCGGGCCAGGCAGACTCTGGGTCCACTACCTAGCAGATCTTGGCAAATATCTAGCTGATGGAAGGCTTTCTCCCCCAGGAGCACTTTCATTTGTTTACTCGTGGGCGTCTGCACCTGCTGCCCCTGCCAGGGTAGAGATAGGCGCTGCGTCCACATTTCCCACTGTAACCCCACATGTCCAGAATAGTTCCTTCCCAGGGGAGGTCCAGGTGAGTGCAGGAGAGGTGTACATATCCCTTGTGCTTTCTAACTAATGACTTCAAAGCAAGCTCATGGCTTAGGGACACTTCCCTCGAAAGGAGACTGTTGACAGCTTCTCCATACCTACCTCTGCCTTTCAAACTGGAACTGGGCTTAGCAGACCGATTTATCTATCTGATGGCCCCTGTTGCTGCTGTTTCTTATCTTTTCCATCCTGTAGGTTTGGACTGAAAATTAATCAGCAATAGAAGTACAGTGCTTGCCCCAGGGTGTTTCAGACTGTTCCCAGGGAGACACAAGGCCATACCTTACTTTGACGTTTCCAGTTTGCCCACAGGTTTTGAGAGATTTTCATTCACAGATTCTGCGTGAGTGTGTGTATATATATTCCTGAAAAATGATTCTCTTGTGCTTTCCAGTCTGCTCAGGGAGGAGGTGAGCGAGGTACTGCTTTGGGAAGCAGTGAGGAGACATTGTTAACCCATGAGCTCATCACAGAGTAGCCCCTATCATATTGAATGTGGACCATGTCACATGATTTATAAGGCTCTACATGAAAGTGAGTGCAGTTTTAAAGCTGAAAGGAGCCTTTGTGATTTTGTTCCCAGGAAACCTTATAACTACACATTGTTCGGAACTTTTAAATATATACCTGAAAAAATTGGGAGAGATGGGAAGCAAAGAGAGAACAGGATTCTTAAAACATACGTTGGTCCGGTTCTCTTGGGTATGTGCCCTGACTGTATATTAGGACTCCTGTGGATATTCAGAAATGACCAGGTTCTCAGGACAGAAAGGCGGAAGCCACAGGCTCTAGAGGGTGGGGAAGTGTCAGTGACTTGGGGAAGGCTAGATGGGAGACAGAGAGTGGAGGTGACTTGGTTGGCTGCGCCGTGATAGGGTAGTGTGACCAGTGACAGCCCTCCCAGTGGCCCCAGAGCCATCCAGAGCTAGGATTCAGGGGATTAAGTGAATTTAGAGATCTATGTTTAAGAGGCCTGCAAAGTTTGGGACTGGCCAAGTGCAACTCTTTGGAGGCAGAGGGTAGGGAAGGACAGTCAGACTCTGGTACTCAATGATATAGACCGTTCATGTGTATTCCACGGTTAAGTTTCCTCCAGTTAGTACAGCCTTTTGAGCAATCCAGCTTACTGTGCTGAGTTGAGGGAGAGGAGAATAAGGGGTAATGATAATGGCTGAAAATTACATAGCGCCCATTATGTGCCAGGCACTATTCCAAGGGCTTTATGTATATTGACTAATTTAATCATCACAACCCTGTAAAATAGGTAGTATTAACTCCATTTTACAGACAGAGATAAAGACTTGCCTGGGTCACATTACTGATACATGGGAGTTCAGGGATTTGAACCCAGCCCATCTGGCTTCAGGGTCTGTGTTCTTCACCACATACTGTACTGTCTCCTTAGAGGGCCAGCAGCTCACAGGGGAAACAGCGATCCCCTGGAGTTACTTGATGATGGAAGAGGGTGTCAGAGTTAGAGACCTCAGAAGATGCCCAAGGAATGATGAAGTCAGAACCTGCCCACGTTGAGACTCTTCCATAGGTAAACTCAGAAAGCTCTGGGTTTTGTTTTATTTTATGTTGAGAGGCAGAGGTTATGTTCACTTAAAAAGTGTTGGTGGAATACCCAGGACAGTTCCTGGCACATCCTGTAGAGTGTAGGTGTTGGATAGATGAATGGATGAGTGAATGAGTGTATAATGTGGATACCCAGTGCACCGGTTAGTCATTTATGAAAGCGTTTCCATTCTCAAACGAATGTTTTGCTTTGGAGCCTTGCTGAGGCTTCTTTTTGCTTTGGAAGGAAAGTTGTCCCGGAAACTGCAAATGTCACAAAATGTTCTGCAGAATGTGTCATAGGCCTTGCAATTAGAAGAGGCTTTGGAGCATCACCCTAGAGGTCTGTTCTAGTCATGACTGAAAAGTTTATTTTCCTCTTGGGGGTTGCAGTGATATTTCATTTTAATTTGTTTTCTGATTGAATGATTTAATTAGATGGTGTTTGGGAATCTCTTGGGAATGTAAATTGCAGTTTTGAAAAAAAAATTTTTTTTCAAATAGTTGGTAAGCGAGAGGGTGGATAGCTCCAGATTTCAAAAATAGCATCCTGTTGGGCTGGAGATAAGTGTTCGTACAGGTTCACTCTTCGGAGGAGAAAGATGGGATTGCTGGACGTGGTGAGGCGGATGAAGCAGAGGGTGTGTTGAAGGCAGCTTGTGTTTTGGAGAGCTTGGAACCTACTCAGTGTTGGTTCCTGTCTTATTTTGGAAGTCCCGTAGAAACTGAAACAGCTTTCTCCTCATCTTTTTCCTTGCTTCCTTCCTTCCTTCCTTCCTTCCTTCCTTCCTTCCTTCCTTCTTTTTTTTAATGTTTATTTACTTTTGAGAGAGAGAGACAGAGTGTGAGTGGGGGAGGGGCAGAGAGAGAGGGACACAGAATTCGAAGCAGGCTCCAGGCTCTGTGCTGTCAGCTTAGAGCCTGACGTGGGTCTCAAACTCATGAACTGTGAGTTCATGACCTGAGCCGACGTCAGATGCTTAATCGACTGAGCCACCCAGGCGCCCCTCCTTTTCTTGATTAGTATCTTTTTGAATCTGTAAAAGAATGTGCCAATATTAAAGAAAATAATTAAAAATGTATAAAATTGCCTTTAATTCATTTTACTTTAACACATCTATTTTGCATTTGAGCCTTCCCTTCTAACTTTTCCCATCTGCCTCCGTATTTAAAAAAAAAGGTGTAGTCATGGTTTGCATGTAATTTCATATTTCACCTTTTTTCAGCTTGTTTTTTGTTAGAAGTATTTTTTCATGTTTGCTACATAGTATATTGATTCAGTCTTTATTTATTGGAGATCTAATATGTGCCAGGTAGCACAGTGGAGAGGTGACATTGGATATGACAGTAAATCAAGACACTCCCGGACCCTGCCACTGTGGACTTGTTTTTAAAGAACAATAGATTCCCTCTTACTCAATACAGTTGGGCTTTAAGGTAGTTAATTGAAAAACTGAGTAAAGAAGAGAATAAAACAAAATAGTGCATATCTGCATTAAGTATTTTATTTTCATTTTATTTTTGAATATTTTGTACATTCATTTGCAAGCCTTTTGATGTTAAGGCCAAGGCTGTCATTGGGCGGGGCGGCGGGGGCCTTTCTGATCTTCTTCCTTGCATAAGCCACTTACATAATGTGCTATTTTACAAAGACTGATCTCTCCTTCTGTTTCCTTTAAAATTCATTGAGAACTTGAAGATGCTTATGAAGCAGCCTCTGTGTAGTAGCCTGAATTTCTACGACTTTTGCCTCATCCTTCGCAGTGATTTTGCTCACATGCAATTTGAGTGCTATTTCAGTGACTAGCTTGATAAAGTCTTTGCAAAGCAGTTAAATTAATTTTCTTAGAAACAACAGCTCTCATCTTTTTAGCAGTCATATTCCATTGGTTTCCAGAATATGTAATTAAATTAAATTATTCTGTTACAATGACAAGTACCAAAGGTAAAAACATATTTGGGAACAAACCCAGAGGACTGTTGGTAGCCAAACAACTCAGCCCTGAGCTGGAGATGTGAGTGGGGGCGGGAGAGAAAAGCTGACACAGAAGGACAAAGGCATCCTGGGGCTGGTTTCCCAGGGGGATTGAAAGCATGCTTCA